TCATTTTCTTGGTGTTTAATGAACTTGGTGTTTAATAAACTTGTTTTATTGATAAAAGACATTTAATTATAGTTAGGTATGTATACATTGGCAACTATGACAGAGATAGCACCAAGTGCATATTTCGTTTATGCAGAATCAGTTGTCATTCTTCTTTCTCAAACGCTAAGTAATCTTCAAGATTTAGGAAATCCTATTGCATACTATGTCATACAAACATTACAAAATTTAATTCCTTTGGTTGAAGGTAATCAGAATGTACGTACGAAATAGATTTATATATTATTTTATATATTATTATTATTATTACATAGACATTCGAATCTGTAACCATAGATGATAATTAATTGTGCTTTTAGATGATAAATGCCTATCAACGTATGATGCCACAGGTAATGGCAACGATACAAGCTTTAGCAGCAGTTGACGAAGATAAAGCTACGACATGTTTTGAATTATTAGATGAGTTATGTGAAAATGAAATTAGCGTAATAGCACCACATGTAAAGCCACTTATTAATATGTGCCTCGCTATTGCCAGTAACAAATCTTCATCGGACCCTCTTCGAGTTAAAGCAATCAGCTTTATTGGCTGGCTTGCAAGAACTAAAAAAAAGGCCCTTGTTAAACACAAATTGGTCGAACCAATTATTGGTAGGAACGGATCCATATATATATATCCAACTTTTTCCTTTTATATCATAGACTAATACATTTATTTATAGATACATTGTTTACACTTATGTCATCTCGTCCTGATGATGATAACGAGGAAGTCTACTTCAGTGGAGAAAATGAAGATAATACGCCTATTACTTGTGCAACTCAAACATTAGATACATTAGCATTGCATTTGCCTCCTGAAAAATTAATTCCACATTTGGTATGGATATGCAATTATTTAATACAAAATCTTAATACAAGTATAAAGATTACAAATAAAAATGTTACTATTTTTCTTCTCTTATAGTTGAAACACATTGAACCAAGTCTTCAAGGCTCTGATATTTATGCAAAAAAATCATCACATTTAGTTATGGCGGTACTTGCTGAAGGTTGTTCCGAGCATATTCGTACCAAGTATTTAGAATCTTTTTTGCGTTGCATTTGTCAAGGAATAACCGATCCTGCACCTGTCGTACGAAATGCTGCTCTTTTTGCTCTCGGACAATTTTCCGAACATTTACAACCAGATATATCCCAGTATTCATCTGAACTATTACCTGTATTGTTCGAATATTTTGGTCAAGTATGTGCCCTTATCAGACAAGAGAAAAAAGAACCGCCGTCGATCGATCGAATGTTTTACGCTCTTGAAATGTTCTGTGAAAATTTAAATGAAAGTTTGTTACCATATTTACCTACTTTGATGGAAAGACTTTTTGAAATTTTAAGTGCAGAAACTTCGGTTCACGTAAAAGAATTATCACTTAGTGCCATTGGCTCAGCAGCCTATGCTAGTAAGGAACACATGTTGCCTTATTTTGAAAAAATTATTTCTATTCTTAATGGTTACCTTACGGAAAAACAAACAAACGAAACTATGTGTCTTCAAATTCAAGCTGTTGGTTGGTTTAAAAGTCATATTACGTAAAGCTTTATGATGTATGATATTAAATTATTGCAGATATTATAATATAATATGTAGCACGTATTATTTAAATTACAGATACTCTTGGAGTAATTGCTAGAACGATAGGGGATGAGCATTTTGCACCTCTCGCTACTAGATCTCTTGAATTTGGATTGAAATTATTGAAGGAAACCGAAGACCCAGATTTGCGAAAATCCATTTACGGTTTATTTGCTTCGATTAGCACAGTTATGAAGAAAGAAATAGCTATGGCATTGCCTCAAATTGTCGAATATGCAATAAACAGTATACAAAGTTCTGAAGGTATAGTGGTAAGTATATTTTGATGTATGCATCAATGTTTAAATCTATCGTCAAGTATCGTATGCTTTTCGCAGCCTCACTTTAAAGAAGATGAAACAACTGCTTTTCCGATATATGAGGATCTTAGCGATGAGAATGATGATGAAGAAGATATAGAAAACACGGACAATGAAGAAGATGGGGATGACGACGATGTGGCAGGTTATAGTGTAGAAAATGCTTATATTGAAGAAAAAGAAGAGGCTATCGTGGCACTCAAAGAGATTGCACAATATACGGAGTAAGATTTTGATACTTTATATTGATAAATTGCTTTGTAAACTTGCTTAATTCTTATATCTATTTAATAATTTAAATATATTATATATTATATTTGATAAATTTTGAAAAACGTGACATTTCAAGAGATTTTGAAATTTCTTTTGCTATAGGGAAGCATTTTTGCCATATCTTGAGAAATCATTCGAAGAGGTCTTTAAATTAATTAATTATCCTCAAGAAGATATTCGAAAGGCAGCTATAGAGGCTTTATTGCAATTTTGTATTAACTTCTCCAAGATTAATTCTAATGAAGGCAGACAGTCGCTATTTAAGGCTCTGTCAGTTTTTGTTCCAAAATTATCAGAATTGATAAGATTAGACGATGAGAGAACAGTAGCCATGTGTGGATTGGATGCATATTCGGAGCTGCTTAAAGAAATAAAATCTGATGTTGTTATTGGTGAAGGTCATAAATATGCTATTATGAATTGCATAACGGATATTATGTCAGGTATAGTGAATTTTATAAATGTAATGTCTTGTAATGTTGCCTTTAGAATTATAATGCGATGTCATTCTTATGATTTTTATTTTTAAAGGTAAAACTAAATGTCAAGATCAAGAAGAAGGAGAGGGCGTAGAGATCGAGGCAGAACAAGACGAACTATTAGTCGAATGTGCAGGTGATGTACTTTCGAATCTTGGAAAAGCCATTTCTTCTGAAGACTTTGCTCTTTACTTTCAAGTAGTCTTACCAATGCTTATAGAAAGATCGGTGAGTCTCTGCTGCATGTTTTGTTATAATTTTTTATTAATTTTTAATACAATTTAATTTCTCTTTTTCTATAGAAAAAAAATAAATCCGATGCGCAAAGATCTTTTGCAGTTGGTATGATTTCCGAATGTTTTTCTGGACTTGAACATGCTGTAACTGCCTTTGTACCGCAACTTCTTCCTACATTCTTGAAGTTTACTAATGACTCTAATGCTGATGTTCGTAATAATGCAATATTTGGAATCGGTGAACTTGCCTTCCATGGTAAAGATGCTGTTTATTCGTATCCTTTTAATAAATTTTAATAAACTTCGTTCTTTACATTTTAACTATATTGTGCCATTATATATCTGTATGTTTATATATTATATATAAACATACAGTTATATAATATATAATAATACAGTTATATATATATATATATATATAATATTCCTTCATTATCAATATCATAGCCACTATCCTGACATTTTACAAGTGTTATCAAGCGCTATTGCTAAAGAGTCGCACGTAGGTGCTCGAGATAACGTTGTAGGTGCAATAGCACGATTGATTATTGTGAATTATGGAATTTTGCCATTGGACCAAGTTTTTCCGGTGTTCGTCAGTCAATTACCATTGAAAGAAGATTTTCAAGAAAATAAGGCTGTCTTTAGAAGTATTTTAACCTTATATCAGGCCGGTCATAACATATTACAACCTCACATGCGTCCGTTACTTCAAGTTGCAATCAGCGTGCTCCAAGAAGGAAAGACTACCGACGATGGTACATTTTAATAACTTATTATATTAATAAATAATAATTTATTAATATTATTATATAATAGTCATGCATATATATATATATGCATATATATATAATAGTCATGCATATACATATATATATATATATATATATATATATATATATATATATATATATATATATATATTGATAAATGGAATTCACATAACTCTAATACTATTACTTGTTATTAATCATTATCGTTATTTTTTCTTAAAACAGAAGCAAAAAGCCTTGTAATGGAATTTGTACGATCTGCCCAACGAGATTTCCCGAATGATTGGAATTCTGTCTACACCGAATTACCACCAGAGATAGCTACAAATATTCAACAGATGTTTTCCTAAGTTATATTTCAATTACATTCAAATCTTCACTTGATTAACATAAACTTAAGGCATTATGCACGAAATACACACTTTGTTTTCGCAAATTAGTATCGTTTTAAGACTTAGACGCAATGTTTACAAATCTCTTCAATTTACATTTACGATCATAGTGACTTAATCATCTTATAAATTTATTATTAGAACAATCGTAAAGCGAATATGGCCAGATTTTACAATAATAGTAATATAGCTTTTCTTTTTTCTTTCTTTTCGTTCTTTTTTAAGTCCACGAGTTGCTATTGTATTGTCGATACAATATAGAGAATAACATTGAAATATTTTGTATTTTAAAGAGAAATATTATATTATATCTGTCAAATGAAATTTCGGCATCGAGTAACGTCGTTTATTTGTTTTTCTATCTTCCGAAGTAAAGGTGCTATTATTCTAAGATAAAATTTACATTATAAAATGAATCAAATGAAACAATTCAATAAACGTATATTGAGAGAGCAGGAACGTTAGAGGTGTTATTACGATAAATTTTGCATTATATTTGTCTATAATCAAAACGTATTCAATAAAGAGAGCAGTATTCTATAATGCATAAACGTATAAATACACACACATAGACAGACACACGTACACATAATACTCGTAAATGTATAATTCGACGAATAAAGACGTTAGATTGGGTGCTTGTTATAAATTTAATTGTCCGTTTTCATACAAGATTTCACGATGTTCTACTTGAAGAAATTATTCACACGATTACTTCAAAATGAATCATATTTGTATACGATTATCTATATATATATATATATATATATATATATATATATATATATATATATTACACATATCGCCGTGGACATATACATACACGATTTTGAGATGCTATCGATTTTTTATCATCAGGGAAAGATAACCCGTTCTCCTATTCAGTTGATTCTTCCAAGTCATACCGAGATCATTCGCCTTTGACGTTAACGAAAAAGCTCATAAATAAGTGTTCGATATCGTGTGTTATTTGCGTACTTGTTAAATAAATTTCATCACAATTACGTCCATTAATCATATGAGTTTGCAGTGAAAGTAAATAAATGGAAAAAACATATATATGTTCGATCTTTAGATCGAGAATGAAAAGTATTGAAGGACGATCTGTATGTTAAAAAGGATTCCTACCTTACCGACAAGAATAATCGATCGTGTTGTATGATGATCGAGAAAAAAATTTTCAAAGCATCGTTCTAAGAAATAATATAGGACGTTCATCGTTTCTAGAGAAAGAGAGAGAGAGGACAAAATAAAACGAAGAAAGAAATAATGAAAAACTTCATCATATCGTATCAATTGAATCGATATCGGAGTTGTTCGTTGATGAGATTAGTCATCGCGGCGAGCAGCGCGTCCTTGAAAATTCCGGCATGACTCGAATGAAAAAGACGTCGCGTCGTAGGTGTATGTCGAGGACGATGGGAAATATAACGAGGAGAGGAAGGACAAGAAGCAACGTACGTTAGTCGATTTTTTTTTAAATTGAAGAGACCAAATTTTCCTTTCTTTTACGTTACTCAAATAATATTGCAAACATTTATATAATATATTTCGACGAAAATTACGTTCTGTTTACAAAAACAAAAAAAAAAAAAGAAAAGAAAAGAAAATTATAAGAGAAATTTAATACCATAATTTGCGATTAATCTTTTTACGAAGGAAAAAATATACAGGAAGGAAGAATTTCTAGGCTGTCGTCATCATGATTATTTATTATTATTATTTTAATTATCGTTATAATAGAATACAAACGATGTGATAACTACGATATGGTCTATAATCGTATCATGTAGTTTCTAAATGTTTGGAAGATCGTTAAAAAAAAAAAAAAAGAAACGAAAAGAAATAAGTTCTAAAAAATAATGTCATTAATGTTTTGTAAAGCGATATATAGGCGTTTTCGATTTTAAAATCTAATTTATTACCATCGGAAGAGTCTTGACAAAAGTACATATTACGTCCATTAAATGTCAAAGTCGTCATAAATCTTGTACGCATTGAATTATACGAAGAAAAAAAAAGGAAACATGGAATATATTATGCAAATCTAAAACGTTTTGGGTTTACATTTTAAACGCAAACATTTTTTCTAATTGAGAATTAATAAAGAAACGAATTAATAAAGAAATAATTTCTTTTCGATCCGAACAGAATGAATTATTTAATAAATATGAAAATAGAAAACGATTGGATACGAGTAAGAAAAAAAGAATAATAAAAGGAAATTCTAGTGTGACGATATAATTGATGATTGAAATGATAGAGAAAAAGAGAAGGTGCGTTCACTTCTAATTTCTAAAAGAATCGACGGACTACGTACATACAATTATCAGACCCCGTTAGCCGGGGGCGTTCCTTCGGTTCACACCTGTCGGACTAGTAGAGGCCACCGCTCTAACAAGATATCGAGCTAGCACATATTCCAATGGAAAGTTTCGTTTCGATGAGAACGCTTAGTCGACCGTTCGGGATAGTCCGGAACGCCACGCGACGGTGTTCGATTGCGTTTCGGCGGCATCGTTCGTCGATCATCGTCATTCCGGTTAGTACAATTTCTTCACATTGTACAATTTATTCGATTTAAAAAGATTACAGAGAAGGATCGTGTCATCGATCAATCGTTTCCCGTAAAATAAAAACTTTAATTAATTAATAATAAATCTCTAAAGAAAAAACGAGAACAATAGAGATGAACGCGTCGGTGTGATATCGACCAATTTTTAACCTATATGTTGGATAAATAAATAGTTTTTTTATTGTCATTTTCTTTTCTTTTCTTTTCTTTTTTTTTTTCCATTGACGTTCGCAACTTACGATTCTACCAATCGGCGCACGGCGAAACTAATGCAACACGTACCACTTTGTCATTGAGAAGAGGAACGCCAAGGAATCGCGATCGTTCCTTTGAAAATCCAACTCGTACTTTGACCGTTTAATTCTAACACGATTAATTAGCATTTTTCTAACGTTTCTTCGAAGCTACGATAAACGTATCGAAGCTGATGATAATAAGTATCTACATATTATCATATGTAAGTTACCTCGAACAGATTTATATACATGCATACATACGCTTTTCTTTTCTTCCTATTCTATATATTTACCTATTCTCGTTTTTTCTTCATCTACATGACACGCAAATAGACTCGGTGGAAACATATTTATCTATCTCTTTATATATAAAACAGTTACGTTCGAATAGAGAACGATCCATATTTCTTTTTTTCAGTCAAATAGAAAGTCCACTTTTGGCATGTAAAAGGGGACCGGAAAGGTACCGGATAGAATTATTCGTATTCTATCGTCCGCATACGAAGGAGGAACGCGAACAGGATGTAATAAGGATGTCCGCATTGATCGAAAGCTTAGTAAAGTAATCGTGTCATTTTTCGAATGTTTTAATCACACGTCTATTATATATACCTTTACCACATATTATATATATATATATATATATATATATATATATATATATAGATATATATGCGTATATGTATATAGATAGGCGTAAACCGTATTTGGAAGAAAGAATCAATTTGATTTTCGATTCTGTTTGCTTCGACGATTAATTATTTTTCTTCGAAGACACGTACTTTATACGTATAAAACTCATATAGGTGCTTAGTTAAAATACGAAATGAACTTTATGTACGTCTGATGAAATATGCGGTGAAGATACAGAATACGAAATGAAATGAAACAGTCATGTCGGAAGGAGACACGCACATAATGCGAATTGCAGAAGCGAGAATGCTCGGGGAGAAAGTGTGACTTTCGTCGAGATAGAAGGACACCGATAAGACTCGTTCGAAAGTGATCAAAGGAAGAAAAAGGAAAAGGAAGATATTGAGAAAAAAAAATATATATATATATATATATGTATATATTTTCCGCCTTGATTCATATTTGAGGCGAGGAATGTGAGAAAGTACGAAACGTCGTCTTCCGTGAAAAATACAAGTTTTTTTTTAGTGACTTTCAAAGTATTCGCTGTGAATGAATACGTTGAGACCGTGCGGAGAACTACTATAAATCGTCCTCCGAAAGGAAATATTAACAGAGTGCATTTTGATGATATTCGCGAGAAAAAAAAAAAAATAAATAAATAAGTAAAAACTATTGTTTTTTGAACTGTTCGCATTCAAATAGATAAAGAAATGGTTTAGTGTGCGTATTACACGCTATCAAGATCTGATATGTAAATTTCGCATAGTATATATCTGTTTGTTAAATAAGTTATAAATGTTAATGAATTGGACTGATAAAGAAAAATAAATGTAGTAAAGCATAATTTGAAATGAGACAAGAAAGAAAGGAAAATAATAAAAAAGGAAAAAACAACAGTTATAAGACACATAGAACGTAAAAGGATCGATCGAAGAGAAGAGATAAGAAAACGAAAAAAATGGAAATTAATTAATTTGCGGAGGTTGTAAAGGTGTTTTACCAAAGAGTTTTATCGTAACAATACATTCGCTCTAACGCGTAGAGGAGCTTGAAAGCCCCGGTAAAAGGGCGCAACTCCTCGAGTGGCCCATTTCCCGTTATCGTGATAAACTCTTTGACAATCGGTTCGGTGCTCGACAAAAACTGGGGTGAATCAGTTGCTTCGCGGTACTCAAACGCGATGAATGGAGCAATCGCGATGCCGTCGCCGTTGTCATCGGCGTCGTCGTCGTCGTCGTCGTCGTCGTCATTGTCATTATCATCGTCATCCTCGTCGTCGTCGTCGTCGTCGTCGTCCTCTTCCTTCTCCTCCTCATCGTCACCCTCCTCCTTTTTCTCCTCCACCACTTTCTCCTTATTCTTCTCCTTCTCTTCTTTCTTCTCCTCCTCTACCTCTTCCACCTCCTTCTCCTCCTCCACCGCCACTACCACCATCTCACTATTATCGTCGTCTTCCGGCTGATCGCAAGAGCGCCTATACGAGGAATAATAAAATGGACGTGGAGCTGGTCACGCGAGCATCCTTGACCTCCCTTCAAAATGTAGACGATGGCCGTGTCGTCTCGCCCAACAGCCTCGACGAATGGACTTGGTCCAGTTTAAGAGTGAGTCCGATTTAAAATACGATCGATAGGATCGATATTCGACAAGTTTTTTCTTCTTTTTTTTTTTCTTTTTTTTACTGCCTATCGATTACGAGTCACTTCTCGAGACGACCTTTTTATATTTTCTCTTAATGCGATAAGAATTACGAGAATTTTAATGTTACGCGTATGATGTCGAACCTGGCTCCGACCCCACTGCTTCCCTAACTCCTCGTCCCCGTCCTTGATTAAATAATTTTGTTTATATTTACGTATATCACATACTCTAATAGTCAACAGTTTTCGATTTAATGACACAAAATATCGCTCGAAGTAAAATCGATTGCCTCGAATTACGTCCGGCATGATTTTCTTTTATCTATCCCATCTATTCATCTATACGATATTATTCTTCTTTTTCAGCTAATAGTAATTAGTAATAATAATATAAATATCATTTCGATGAATAATGAAGTTGATTCGCCAGGAGGGGTTGAATCATGGTTTGACCCATAGATCGTTTATCGCTTACATCGATTCTTCTTAACCGTTTAATCGATAAACGAAAAGAAATCGAGATATCTCAGTTTACTTGCTCCAATAAGAACGTTACGTTCACGCATATGGAGGATACGTCTGGTAGCCGGAAGTCATATCGCATTTTTGCCTCCCTTTTCTTTTCTTTTTGTAATCGAGCTTAACACAAAAAAAAATTTCTTCTCGAAGAAGACACGAGCGCGCGCACGCACGCACGCACGTTGTTTACTTCGCCTATCGGATTCGCGTATCAGTAGACGCGCATTCGATAACTCGATCAGCGCAACATGATATACGATCAACTACAGTACTCTTTTTTTCTTTTTATTTTTCTTTTTTTTCTTTTCTTCTTCATTTCTTACCTCTTCATTATCAACCCGACTTAGTTGATAGAACGGGAAAGGGACATTTTTTTTCTTCTTCTTCTTTTTCTTCTTTATTTATTTTTTTTTTTTACAGTAGAATTTAATTGTCTCGAGAAGTGTTAACATGAGATAAGTTGCCTTTTTTTTCTTTTAAATAGATCGTCAAACGATTCAATCATAGATGGATGAAATTCAACGATAATGTGATCCCATTTAATGTATTTTTTTTCTTTTTATCGATTATTTTTTTCACCTCATATCTTTTTCTTTTTTCTCTTAAATATTTCGATCTATATCAATCACGTTGCTCGTCATGCTACTTTCTTACGGATCGATATTTATTGTTTTCGAACTTTACGAAAAAAAAAGAAAGGAAAACAGAAAAAAGAAAAAAGAAACATATGAAAAAAAAAGAAACCAAAAAGGAAAGTCATATACAAAAGAGAAATTATGTGCAATCGAAAGTATATTATCAATTCCAATTATTATCGATAGTAGTCATAGATACATGCAGTTAAGAGCTACGAACATTTTCAATTGATTCATTATATAGTTTATTATATTACATTCAATTTTTCTTCCCTTCTTATAGAGAAATATCACTAACAGCTAAACATTAGAAATTGTTATTTATCATAATACGTATTAATATGAAAGAAACAAGCCATTTTATTTTTATATAAGATTTTATATTTTGGAAGATCGAAAAAAACGATGCTGAAGAGAGAAACCAGAGATAGAGAGTTAGTAAGAGTGAGGGAGGGAGAAAAAGAGAGAGAGAGAGAGAGAGAGAGAGAGAGAAAGAGAGAGGTTCGAAGCTATTTGAAATTGAAGATCAATATCCAGCGGGTCGAGAGGCTCTCAGCAAGTAGCAGCAAATTATACGAAAACGCACGCGCGAAACGCAGAGAAGCTTTTCGCATATATATTCGTTGAAAGCTCGACCGGCAGAACTCCGTGAACCGCGCTCCTATTCGTGTGCTTTCGTTTCGTTTACGTTACGTCTACGAGAAAGAAAGAAAGAAAAAAAGAGAAAAAAAAGAAAAGAAAAGAAAAAAAAAGAAGAAAAAGAAAAAAGAAAAAAAAAAGAAAAGAAAACCAGCAAAGTGACTCGTTAGAAACGTTTGAAAACGATTGGTATTTGTCGACTTTCGAACGATAAATTCGCATTTTCGTTTTTTGTAAAATTCTTACAGGCTATCACGCACCTCGCGGACTTCTTAACATACTCGTTCGATTTTGCAAGGGACACACAAAAAACAGAGATAGAAAGAGAGAGAGAGGGAGAGAGAGAGAGAGAGAGAAAACAACAAGAGAACTGCTATGTCAAATCGTTTCTTTCGATGCGCGAGTGCCGTTATGTGTTACCAATATGACTATTTTTCTTTGGATGTTTTAATGAAATAATAAAAAAAGAAGTAGGAAAGATTTATACGTAAGAGTGAAAGAACGAGAGAGGAAGGGAGAGAGAGAGAGAGAGGGAGGGAGGGGGAGAGAGAGAGAGAGAAAGAGAGAGAAAGAGAGTTTAGGTAGAACCGAAACGATTTCACCGAGTTTTTCTCGTCGTACAAAACGAACTGTAACTTTTTTTGGACTACCATTCCGTCTCATTGCAAGAGAAGTATCAGAATTTTAATATAGTAGATCGTAATATAGTAATTACGATCGAGCTGTTAGTTATATCTTTTCTATGTTATACCGCAATCGTTAAAAAAATGTTCATTGCATTTAACTATAACTTGTAAAATCTTAATCGTCAAAATCATAATAGAGAATTTATCATAATTTCAATTTTTCTTTTTTCTTTTTCTATTTCGACAGATAAAAACGCAAAAGGACAATTATTTTTTTCTTTCTTTCTGTTTTTCTTTTTTTCCTTTTTTTTTCTACAGAAAGTTTTTGTTATTACTATTTCTGTATGTCTTCCTATAGAATTTATATTTTCGGACGAAAGGAAATATTTGGGTTATAGATAACCAGACAACGTATTAATGAGTTTTTTGTATATTTTTTTACGCAAGTTTAAAAAGCAATAAATAGACTCGTCGATTCATTCAAAAATCAACACTCGTCAATCTAATTGTAGCTTCCGTTAAGTAGAATTATCAGTACTAATCCTATCAGTAATTTTAAATCACTGCCGTCGCATAGAATTTTATCGCGACATTTTACTTTTCAGAAACAATTCAAATACAAAAACTTGGAAAAACTCTATACCAGCTATCAAAGGAGACTTCAATATGGTTACCTCTCGCTCTTCGTACTGGTCGAAATAATTTTGGGATTTGTCTATTGTTTTGTGTTAATCATGATGGTAAGTATATCTACATGCAGGTACGCCTTATATCTAACAATAAGTGCTAGATAATCTAATCTAATACCTAATCTGGTAATATCACTTTCGAGAATTGCAAACTTCTTTTTTTATCGATTCTTCCTTTTCATTTCTCTCGTCTCAGGTAAACATCGAAGAATGCTTTCCAGACGTGATAGTCCACAGTATAATAGGCGCCTTACTTTGTCCCACGATAGCGCTCTCATTCAGATCAAAAATCATCGCGAAGAATACGTATTTGCCAGTTTTGCTCTCGTGTTTGGTAGTCACGCTCTTGGTGATCGGTGATCTTATGGTACCACTCTATTACACTCTTGCATACACCGAAGATATAGCACCGATACGGTAAAAAAGATTTCTTTCTTCCTTCCCTTATTTTTTTTTCTTTTTTTTTTTTTTTAGATTAGACAGCAAGACAAAATTATTCGATAGACTATTCCTCACCTCACGAAAATTCTGATCTTTTTTCCTTGTTTTAGTCCTACATATGCAACGCACACGCTACTAGCATGTTACGTCTTTCTACCACTAACGGAAAATCTGCACGCTTTCGTGCTCGGCATTACAGCGACGATGTGCTACTTGGCTACTCTGTTCCTCATCACTTATAGGAATACACCTGATTACATTAGCAAAGTGAGATTTCTTTCAACATCTGTTTAAATTATATTCACATACATTACATTAATGAAAATTTAATTGCGTTAAATTTCTTTACGTTACAGATAACCACCGACGCCATATATTACGTTTGCGTTAATGGCCTGGGTCTTTACTTTAGATTCATGAATGAGGTCGTCATACGACGATCTTTCCTTGATCGTCGAAAATGCGTCGAGACGACGTTGAAGCTAAATTATGAAAAGGATCAAGAGGTATTGCTTACAGGATTTTCTCAAATATGTTAGAAATATTCCAAAAAAAGAAAAAAGAAAAAAAAACAGAAAAAATATTAAAGCATTTTAAATTTATCACGCGAAAATAAATTTAATCGAAATAATTGGAGAATTTCGAAAAAAAGAAAAAATACGTGTTTAAAATTTTAACCGTAGGATATTTAGATAATAATCTATTTTTACATTTTTTCTGTAGATATTTAGAGAACACACAATGTGTGTTCGAACTTTGTTTCTCTTTTCCTAGTGTTGATGATAACAGCGTATGAAAAGCTTCCCCTTTCCTCTACGATATCTACAGTATTGTTATGAATATAAACGTTTAAATATGAATAGTCAATGTTTCTCTCTTTATTCATTCGCTCGACTACACTGTATCGATACCAAACCGTCAAACAAAAAGATCGTATAAAAGATGATGGAAAGCAATTTTAATATAATGCAGAACCAAAATCGATTTCGGAACAATGTGTTTCTCTTTTTTTTTCTTCTTCTTCTTCTTTCTTTCTTCTCTTTATAGGAACAACTTACACGGAGTATTCTTCCCCAGCACATAGCTGCAAGAATAAAGAAGGACTTCCGGGATATTTTTAAATTTATGGAAGAGCACAAAAAGGCACCACCAAAAGGAAGACCACGAAAGTAATTTTTGCGATAAAAATTTTTCGTGTAAAAAAAGAAAAAAAAATGTCTATGTTACAAAAACTGATCTCTTGATATTATTTCTCTTTCAGTGATCTCTGCGTCGAAACGCACAATAACGTTTCCATTTTGTACGCCGACGTGGTCAATTTTTCTGGCTTAACTCTCTCGTTACCCGTGCGAAAACTAGTCGAAACTCTAAACGACTTGTTTGGTAGTTTCGACGAAGCATCTGAGAGGCATAACGTATTACGGATAAAGTTTTTGGGCGATTGCTATTATTGTGTCAGCGGTGTGCCCACGCCGAACTCGCAACACGCCAAAAACTGCGTCGATTTAGGTAAATACATGAAGTCCTGCATAATTATACATTAATACGTATATTATGCATACATTGTTTTCATATTGTTATGTTTTTCGTTCAACACTCTTATACCTCCTTTAAATGAAACTTTAATTTATAATCATTATGTATCGATATTACACATCCATGCGTTAAAATATATTTACCAAGTAATAAATACTAATATTATAAATTGTGATTAATACGACTTTTTGTTAATAGTAGTAAAATATTAACGTAATAATCAGACATACAATGTAATAATACGTAATCGTACCGCATTATTCCGCAGGCCTCGATATGATAAGGATTATCAAAGAAGTAAGAACCAGGGTTCGTCGAGAGAGCGGTGTAGATGTTAACATGAGAATCGGTGTTCACTCGGGGAATATAATATCCGGAATTTTAGGCGCGAACAAGTGGCAATATGATGTATGGTCGCGAGACGTTGTGATAGCGAATAAGATGGAACAAACTGGTAAACCTGGAAAGGTTCATGTTACTCAACAGACATTGGATCTCATTAATGCCACCGAATACGACTGCGTACCAGTTGAAGTATTGAACGATGAAGTTCTTAATAAATATGGCATTCGCAGTTACTTAATTACACCCGTTCCGCCAGATACATTGTTAATGCAGGTGTGTGTTATTCAGTGATATGAATTTTCTCTTGACGAGAAAAATACATTAATCATGGAGATAATATCGGAGAGAAATTGAATATTTTGTTCTATGGAACCTCTTCGGAAGTTCGAGTTGAATCTGTGAACAAATTAAATTTTTTTCTCATCGACATTATTAGCACAATTTGATGGATTTAAACAAATGAAGTTCTTCGAAGATTTATTTGTGCGTTAATGGCTTTCTCTTCGGTGAAACTTCGTTTGAACGTTTCGTATCGTTGACAGGCGAACTTTGTTGCAGAACAGCGAGAACACCTTGACGGTAATTACACCGGATACTTCGGCACCAGGCTATAAGCATTACGTCAAGTTCTTGACTAGTGCACGACCAAGTGTATCGTCAAGTGCACGGAGACGATTGACCTCACCGACTAGCGATCACGCAGATGTATTTGCCGGTAGTTACAGACGCAGAACTCACTTCATGGATTCCTGTTTGAGGGATTATCATCTTATGCTTAAAGCTGCAGACGCGGAAATGGAAAATGCAATTAAGCAGATGCCGCTTAGCAAATGGCAGTGAGTATAACAATTGATAAATTTATTGATTAACATTCACGCGTTGTTATATAATACTTTAAAATACAGCAAACGTGTTTCCAGGCAATGGACCAGATGGGAACATATCAATCCTATTTTCCTCACGTACAAACAATGGAATTGGGAGATACCGTTTCTGCGCGAGCCAGATCCCCTTTTTAAATTTTTTGTCGCATGCGCTGTATTTGTACTTTTCTTCATGGGCCTTATATCACTTGTAACAGCGATCACGCTATCAGAGTGCGTTACCTCCTGAAAAGTAATACCCTATGAATTTTATGTATATACGTAATGGTAAGTTTATATCAGTCGATGTATTTACAGGTGGCATACCGGGACGGCCATCGGTTATACGATAAGCATGTTGTTTCTACTAACGCTAATGCCTCTTACCTGGATGCACTTCGCATGGAATCGTTATAAAGATCCACACGATGAGGGAAACGTACCAAATCCTCGTAACAAATTGATATACTTCCTGTATCAAACGAGCGTCAAGGTAAGTTTACCAACATCAACGTCTTACTATTAAAATCATTAATCATTTTTTCACGATCAGATTGTTTGGAGCGCATTGCTCAGGATAATTCTCTATCTTGTAATGACCATAATGTTAGCGACGTGTGCTATGTTCGATATGATTGTAAGTATTCGAAGGTATAGTTAGTCAATAAATCGATCACATTCTAACATAATTTTATTTCGATTATCATTTTTCATTTTCAGTTCGAATGTCAGAACGTGGACAAATTGGCGAGCGATAACGTAACGTCTAGTATAGCACAAGTGGGGGCAGCAAAACTTGAATGTATTTCTACACCCTGGGTAAGATTGTTTAGTAGGTAAACGAGAATTATATATAAATTATTTATTATTTCTTTAAAATATTTAAGCATCTAACAAGGGATACAGTGTTTAGTGTTATAAATGTTATCATTGCTTCAGCAAATGACAGAAACCTGCTCTTTGGCGATTCTTACGAGTTTCCTCTTCCTAAGAGTGCATTACTTTCTAAAGTTACTGATAGGTATTGTAATGGTAATATTTTATACATGGAACGTTTGGATATATCGCAGCAATATATTCCAGGTAATGATAACGTTTAAATTGTTGTTAAAACGATCGTTCATCGAAATAATTTCAATGAAACTATCTTTTACGCAATCTTTATATTTTCGATAGTCAGGCGAAACATGGAATCCATATTTGGAACCAAGAGTGGCACACATTTTAAGCGTTGTTTTTCTCACATTCTCGCTTCATCTTATTGATCGTCAGGTGAATTATCTGATTTAGACAATCTACGATATATTGATTATCATCTTTTCAAAAGTGATATAATTTTTCTCTTCGTTCTTACTTACATGGAACTTTATTCAGGCAGAATACTTGAGCAGATTAGACTATCAATGGAAACGACAATTGACACTGGAACAGGACGAAGCTTTTCACACGAGAAATGCTAATAAATTATTACTCCGTAATATTTTACCAGAACACGTTGGTATGTATTGTTTATATATTAATAAATATATATTGAATATTTTTCTATGTTCTATTATCGTGTTAAAAATCCGATAACTGTTAGATAGGGTATGTTAATGAAATACGATTCAAAGTAATGCTTCTGTTTGCAGCGGAATTCTACTTAAATATGGATAGAACGGAAGGAAATGAACCGTATCATCGTGCACATCATAATGTCGCCGTAATGTTTGCGTCCTTAACAGATCTATCGATTGACGAAAGCAATATCCTTATAGACCTGAACGATATCATATGCAAATTCGATAAGTTGTTATTCGAGCCGTACTACGTTTGTCGTATTGAAAAAATAAAAATAGCAGGTATTCGAAACCGCTTTTACGGTATTTATTATTTACCGATTAAATCATTAACATTTAAAAGCTACAGCTTATAAAATATATGTATATATATTTTATAAGTATATATATACATATATATATATATATATATTTTATAAGTATATATATACATATATATATATATATATATATATATTTTATAAGTATATATATACATATATATATATATATATATATTTTATAAGTATATATATACATATATATATATATATATATATATATATATATATATATATATATATATACATTTTACAACATTAGGAACAACATACATGGCAGCTTGCGGCCTTGAATCTAACCGTCGCGATTCTATGCATAGCTTAGAAAGTGACGAAAGTTCTAGTGATAACGTGGTCAAAGTTATGGCCGAATTTGCAGCACAGATGATGGTAGTCCTAGATAGAATAAATTCCGAATCTGTTTCGTCCAAACCATACAGGTACGTAACTGTCGTTTGTTATATATAAAAGAAAAAAAAAAGAAAGAAATAAATACAGGATTAAAATGTTATGAAATTTATAAAACTGTAGATTGAGAATTGGCATATCGCATGGTGAGGTTTCAGCTGGTGTTGTTGGAGCACATAAACCTCTTTATGATATTTGGGGAGACGCCGTTAATATGGCATCAAGAATGGATACTACAGGATTGCCAGGCAAAATACAGGTCTGATTAGCTTTTATAGACTTTAGTAAAATGATAATTTCGATATAAGAAATTCTGCTTCCTATAAAAGTGTCAAAGAATAACATTGTATATCTAATGACAGTATTCACTGTTACAGGTAACAGCTGAAACTGCTAATGTGTTGGAACAACAAGGTGTTAAATGTCACTTACGTGGTGAAACGTGGGTTAAACCAAAAGGATATGTCACGACATATTTTGTAGGTATTGACGAAAGGAAACAACTTCAGAGAACAGATTCCATAGAAGAAACTAGTCTCTAACCTATAATTTAAATGAAATTATTTGATAGAATTGATTTTAAAAGTGATTTAAATATTCACTTCAAATAATTTGAAGAATGAAATTACTTGAAGAATGAAATATCAAAACGCACAAAAGAATCATAACGTACAGTGGGACAAACACCAAAGACAGCTCAGGAAGAATGAAAGATAGCATAAATAATTAAGGAATAGAGAAGTTGCTATAGTATTATGTCCAATCTATGAATACAACAAATATGATTGTTCAGTTTATCTCATTCTTTAAGTGGAGTTTACATTCACACGCTTATAGCTATCAAAATGTTTAAACAAATCCTAACCTAAATGATTTAATCTATCATTTGTGTTTTTCTTCATATTTATATACAATATTTTCTATAGTTATTTGGCCTTTCAAAAAATCATATATATATATATATATATATATATATATATATACATATTATAAAAATAAGTAACTAATAATTAACAAAATGTATATTAAGAGAATCATCTCTTAATTTACAAATGGTATTTTGATGCTAATTATTTTTCTAATCGTTAGCGTGGTACATTACTCTATCATTGATGTGATTTGAAAAATAATTGGAAAAAAATGATTTATCTATTATATTATTTAGAGATAAGATACTATGTAGTTGTTGAAGTATAAAAATCAATGAATCAGTGGAAAATAATCATTGGCAAAGATGTTGAATGTGTACAAGCATGTAACAATGATGCAAGCTCACTCACATAAATTATTTTTTAATTAATACTGTTTAATAACAGTATATTTTTAAATTATATATACATATATGTTTTATTTATTTCTCAGTGTATAAGTTATCATGAATCATCAACGAGAACTGAAATAACATGTTTATTTTTTCATCTTATTCAATGAATGTAACGACGAATGTTTACTTATTTACTTGTAAATATCCTTTGTATATATTTTTTAACTAACATGAAAAACAGCGACCAATATGGTTATTTGATAATTTAAATAAAATATTTATTACAAAAACAAAAGGTCTTTTTTTACGTTACTATACATATTACTATATTTAACAATATTATATTAATTAATATTTGGTAATATCATGAAAATAGAAAAAAATATAAAAATGAATAATATGTAGAAATATATTTATCTTTGTAATATAATAGACATTCATAAACCGAATTTTGTTTGTTAGTAAGAGCGTTGTTCTTCAAAATCGATCGGTAATATAGATTCCTACGGTGCATTGACTTAAATTTCTCCTGTTCATTTAATGCACTTGTCATAGAATTAGATTGGAATAATGAGAATCATGCAAAGACCGTTTTAGTGCTCATTGCGTTTTATATGACATTTCGGTTTAAATTTATATAATATGGTTCGGACATTACATTGTATTATTAATACAATCATCATGAGCAGCTGAAAGTCGTCTGCTACGCGTTTATATTGTGTGGCAACGTTGACGTTATTCTTTTTCCTTTGCTTTTCTCTGAGATTTAAAATTAAAATTTTCCCAAGAAAACTAATTGTCAATTGCTGAGAGACGGATCGCTGAAACAAATACTAAAAAGATGGTAAAATAATCAGAAAGAAGGGCCGGATATTAAAGAAGGCATACATTGCATTCGACGGATTTTACTGTAGATAGAGGTTAAGTTGATCATCAGCATGACTTTCCACTTTCAGTTCGGGTTTAACATGTTTCCGGAGATTCCGCGGCCCTTTAATACGCAGTACAAGTGCTTTTCCGTGTCGATGTTACCAGGAATTTATAGGCAAGATGTAGAACGTGGTGGAAAAAGTTAGTAAAATGTATAAAATTAAAGATGTCATGTAATGATAAACTAGTGTATTACCAATATTTCTTTTTAGTAATCATGCCTCCATCGGCTCTAGAACAATTAACAAGATTAAATATTAATTATCCAATGTTGTTCAAATTAACGAATAAGAAAACTAATAGAATTACTCATTGCGGAGTCCTAGAATTCGTTGCCGATGAAGGAAAGGTCTATTTGCCTTATTGGGTAAGATATTTCATAAAATGTTATATATACATTTATTTTTCAATGATTTTATATTTAAAAATGTCATGTGATTTTTACAGATGATGCATAACCTTCTTCTGGAAGAAGGAGAGTTGTTAAACGTTGAAAGTGTATCTCTTCCTGTTGCAATATTTTCACGTTTTCAACCACAATCAGAAGACTTTTTAGATATAACAAATCCAAAAGCAGTATTAGAAAATGGTTTAAGAAGTTTTGCATGTCTCACTACGGGGGATGTTATCGCAATAAAATATAATCAAAGAATATATGAAATGTGTGTATTAGAAACTAAACCTGGTCCAGCAGTTAGCATTATCGAATGCGATATGAATGTTGAATTTGCTCCGCCCCTTGGATATAAAGAACCAGAAAGAGAAACAAAAAACAATGAGAAAGATGTAGATCCTGCGGATTTAATGCCAACGCCTACCGGTTTTGTACCATTTAAGGGACAAGGAAACAGATTGGACGGTAAAAAGCGTAAGGATTCGTCTCAGCTTGACTCGGTGATGAATAAAGTGGCCTATGTAAGAGGTATTCCTGATTATGATTATAAAATAGGCACTTTAAGGTTTTTAAGAAATATGAAGCCTGTTAACAACAAAGAGGTAAATTTAATTACATCTTTATTACATATAACATTGCAAATAACATTTGAATATGAATGATGCTACTCGTTATAGGTAAAAGATCAAGATGAATTCAAAGCATTCACTGGAGAAGGTTTCTCTCTTAGAAAGTCAAGGAAATGATAATGCAATACGAAAACGAATAATTCGATCGTAAGTGTATGTCATGGGATCATATGGTCACATTTACCATTAAACTATTGTACTATTCCCAAAATGTATTCGTTTGTACAATCACCCATTGACAGTATACATGTATCTTTGTACCTTAAGTCAATACAATAACATTTTTAAAATTTATAACATTGTTTCATTGTTGTATTAAGTTAAAAAGTTCTCTTTAGGAAGTAAATAATTCCTTTATTCGTCTTATTTTTTTTTTCAGTTATTATGCTATTTGTCGTTTTAATACAGTCGTTGATACAAAATTTTATATTAAATCTCTACACGATAACTTACATTTTAAATATTATTTATCATTGTTGAAAAATTACAATCCTATAATTATCACAAGTTTTACCAAGAAGTTTAATATATACATGAGATAATTAATTTACCAGAGAGCCCTAAAAGAGTTTGTTCGGCTTAATTCTTGATAAGAAAAAAATCTCTACCTAAAGTTACAAACTCTTCCAAACTGAGTTTTCCATTTTCATTTATATCAATGTAGTTGAATGATATAACAGCATGCTATAAAAAAAAGTATAAACAGTAAAATGTAAATCATTCAAAAAATATGTATTTCTTGAAAAAATTTGTAACTCATATAATATGGATTCATAAAACAAAATATACCCTATACATCATATAGAGATTTACTGTAATATATTATGAACAAGGTATTGTACTTACATCATTTTCTAGTCTCAAACATTTAAAAAATAGTTTAAATTCTATTATATTGATCTCTCCATTTTGATCTTTATTAATTATATATTTAGAGCTCATAATCCTATAGTAACTACATATCTTAAAAAGAAAAGGTAAAGAACTATGATATTTCTTTTTCAAACAAGGATCATTAAGTACATGATGCATTTCCTCTATATATTTTTCAATGCTGATTAGATTGTAAGGATTAACTTCTCCCTATAATTCTTCCTACAAGTCCTATATAAAGAATAGCATGATAAAAATTTATATTAAGCTTTTTATGTAATATATACAAATTTGGATATAAAAATATGCACACACACACTTACTATTAATATCTTTATAAATTCTATAGTTGCTTCTGTAGAAAAGTCTCTTATTTTAGAAAATTGTTCTGTCTGTAGCATGAAGTCGTCATAATTGATTATTCCATCTTTATTTACATCTAAATGGTTATGCAAAATTCTTATTTTCCTTCTCCAAAAAGGTATCTGACCATAAGACCTGCAGACCATAATAAAATTTTCTGTTAATTTGAATAAATAATTAATCAACTTTTCTAAGGAAATTACTTACTCTTTCCTGTTCATAATCAGAGTCACTATCACTGTCAATTTCAACTATAGCTGTTAAAACCTGTCTATTGTGAATTTTTCTTTTGCTATATAATCTCTTGATATAGTTATAGAACTAAAACAAATAAATAATCATATCTTAATAATATAAGTGAATTTATACTGGAGTAAATTAAATTTATCGTTTCGTTAGATAAACGTAAATACGTTCATCGTTTATTGAAGTGATTCCAATTTATTGATAACAACTTTTCTAACATTTGCATATGTAAGGAACATGTTTCTATTCTTGAAAAAAATCAACAAATCATAACAAACAATTTCTTTATAAATATCTATCTTATCTTTTCCGAAAAATAGATCATACGTACCGTCCGTAACGTATGAATCATGAGTTTATCTTTTTTTTTTGTATTAAAAGCAAAGATAAGGAAACGATGCGTCTCTTTTTCTCTTCTTAGGAAAACAGTATCAATTTTCTGATGTATCGTATTCACGTCAATATGGAAAAGAGATTATTTTGAAAAAATCAAAAAGTTAGATAATAGAAAAAACAAACGAATATTAAATTTGAACGTTGACGAGAAAGAAGTATGTAACTTTGTTAAAAAAGAAATATACATTCAAGTAACATTTATAATATATGTAAAAAGTTCTTTCTCTCATTAGTTACGAGTTATGAAATAGCTGTATTATAAAATAACGTAACGAACGATACCTTTTGAAATCATAGATCTTATTTACTATTTATTATTATTATTATGAATATTATTATCATAATTATTATAATTATTATAATAATTTTTATTAATATTAATATTATTATCGTTATTATTAATATTATTATTATTAGTCTTATTATCATTATTATTATAATTATTAGAATTATTAATAATAATAATAATAATATTATTATTATTATTATTATTATTATTATTATTATTATTATTATTATTATTATTATTATTATTATTATTATTATTACTCTTTCGATGAGGCCTGCTAGGGACCACGTGCCAATTTCCATTCTTCACACTTAGCTGTTTTCTTTTCCGTTCCCTCCAATTCCCTCCAATTCCCTCCAATTCCGTTTCTTCCGTTCCTTCATCTTTTCACTATGCTGATTCTTTCTGTCCTCAGACCACT